AACCCTGATGGGTTTTTTTTTTGCTTCATTGTGGCTTACGGAACGAGCCCACCTTGGCTAGGAATACGTAACGTGAAATGCTAAAACTGAAGTGTCAATCGGGGTGGGATTTAGCCGGTTCGGGTGAACCGGATGCTAATTTTACATCTGGTTCGCCGAACCGGTAGTTGCAAGGACTGGCTGGCCCCACCCACCCCACCCCTCCCAGGAGTCTCCATGCGGCCCGTTTTGGATGCAAGGTAAGCGCAGGGCCAGGGCGGAGGCTCTGAGAGGGTGAAAAATGGGCCTACCAGAAGTCTGAAAACGGGCCTGTTTACGGCCTCTGGAGCCCAGAGGAGGCCGTTTTCGCCCTCCTGGAGACTCGAGGAAAGCCTCCGGAGGGTGAAAGCGCCCCCCCATCCCGGCCGTGGTGCAGGAGGCAGAGTAGGCCATGCCCCCTAGCAAACTAAAATTTTTCAATCCCACCCCTGGTGTCAACCCCACCAGAGACAGGAAATTGGGTTGAAGGGCTGTTTTCAGGTTTAATATTTGTCAGCATGCTCCTTCTTGTTGCAAATTTCTCCCAGGGGCCTCTGGTTCCCGATGTTCTTCTATTATTAAATGCAGAAGGTAAAATTCATGCCTTTTTAATCACTTCTTAGTTAGAGGAACCTACCTGGTATGTTGGCACGTAAAAGTCATCATACAAGAGGCTACAAACCTAATCGACAATTAAAGAACAATGACCCCTGAAGCCTGGTTAGGAAATTTGCCAATCTTCTCCAAATTAGTTGTCTTTTTTTCATTAGGTTGATAATTTACTATCCAGAAAGCCTGCCTCTGGTGGTGAATCCGGTTAAAGAATTGTATTGCTGCTGCATTTATTTATTTATTTTTAATCCTGATGCTATTTAGAATACTCTTAATCCTTTAAATAGTATTTAAGGACTACTTTTAATTGTTATTTTATGAGAGTTTACAGTGAGGTTTACTGCCTTAATTTCTCTCTAGGTGAAAAGGCAGGGGGGGAAAAAAGGTTCATATAAAAAAAAAAATGCAAATAATTTACCCAGAAACTTAGCATCTCTCCCGCCAAGCCCATTCAGCTGGGAACTCCGCCTGCTAAACCGTTCACCTATCACACTTGAAGATTTTAAAAAGTAAAACTGGGTAGGGTGTGGCCGATGGACTTTGTGTTCTTTGTTGGGGCAACCCACAAAGACCAAAGTAAAGATTCGTTCCAAAAAGAAAAACAAAGAAAAAAAAAGGGGGGGGGAAGCAAGTTTCTACAAATGCAGAAGTCTAAAAAACTTTTCAAGAGCCTCTCCTATGGTGTTCGTCATTAAATGATATTTAACCCATTGCAAATACTGCCCATCCATTTCTCCTTGACAGGAAGTGATTCCTAGGAACCCATGATGTAATTATTAACCCAAAGAGACAGAAGCTGAAGTTGGATGTGAGAAACACACACACACACACACTCCCCCTCCCCCACTCCCCAACCCCAGTCCACGTTGACAAATTCTTTTGACAAGTCCTGTGGTTACAGGGAAGCTGGTTTCATACTGAGTCATCTCTGTTCAAACAGTTTACTGGAAATGGAGGGGAGGGGGAATTTTCAAAGAAATCATGTGATGGCCAGACTAACCACAATCAGCAAAATGTTCAGAGGGGAAAGAAAGAAAGAAAGAAAGAAAGAAAGAAAGAAAGAAAGAAAGAAAGAAAGAAAGAAAGAAAGAAAGAAAGAAAGAAAGAAAGAAAGAAAGAAAGAAAGAGAGAGAGAGAGAGAGAGAGAGAGAGAAAGAGAGAGAACATAGGGAGGAAGAAGAGAAGAATGAAGATGGGAGAGAGAGAGGAGAGAAGAGGGAAAAAGAAAGAAAGAAGGAAAGAAGGAAAGAGGAAGAAAGAAAGCAGCACAAAGAGGAGAGAGAAAGAACTAGTAGGGAAGAAGAGAAAGAAAGATGGAAAGAGAGAAGAGAGAAAGAAGGAAAGAGAGAAAGAAAGAAAGAAAGAGGAAGAGAGAGAGAGAGGAAGAAGGAAGAAGACAAAAAGCATGAAAGAGAGAGAAAGAAATAGGGAGGGAGGAAGTGAGAAGAGAAAGAGAGAGAAAGAGAAAGAGAAGGAAGGAAGAAAGAAAGAACGTAGGGACGAAGAAGAGAAAGAAAGAAAGCAACACAAAGAAGAGAGAGAAAGAACTAGTAGGGAAGAAGAAGAGAAAGATGGAAAGAGAGAAGAGAGGAAGAAGGAAAGAGAAAGAAAGAAAGAGGAGGAGGAGAGAGGAAGAAGTAAGAAGTGGAAAAAGCATGAAAGAGAGAGAAAGAAAGAGAAAGGAAAGAAAGAAATAGGGAGGGAGGAAGTGAGAAGAGAAAGAGAGAGAGAGAGAAAGAAGGAAGGAAAGAAGAAAGAAAGAAAGAAGAGAGAGAAAGAAGGAATGGGGAAGAAGAGAAAGTTGGGGAGATAGAGAAGAAAGAAAAAGAGAGGAATGAAGGAAGGAAGGAGGGAGGGAGGGAGAGTAAGTAAGCAAGCAAGTTAGTCCAGGCTCCCTGGATAAACAACTGCTCTGCAATCTTTAGTCCCTTTGAAGTTTCGGATGTGCCTTTAACCCCTTTCAACAGTCCTCAAGGGAGAGGGCTGGAGAGAACTGGGGAAGAGTCAACAAAGAGAAGGGCCTTGACTGCCCCACATAGAGCAATGGCCAGAGAGCACAGCCGCCCGGGACCTGACCCGACAATAATCAGGCCAGGCTTGTCTCTGGAGCTGCCTCTGGCTCCCTTCAAGCAATCCCGGCTTGGCTGTCCTTGGGGTGTAACATGCAAACTTTCTTCGCCGGGGGATTAAATGCACGTGGTTGGCCAGCGAGCAGATCTGTGAGATTTAGCTGGTTGGGAGGCTTTCTGGCTCACAGATCTCCGGTGACTTCCAGAGTAAGGTGTGATTCTCTCCAGGGACAGCAGGAAATCAAGAACACCATTCCTTCCCCCACCCCAAAAGAGCACACAAAGATGGGGTGCATAACTGGACCCAATACAGCCCAGCTCAGGGTCCTGTTCTCCAATGTGCACCCCTTAACTCAGAGCCATTATTACGAGTAAGCATTTATTTACATTGATTGGCCAGTCGTTTTAACAGTTCCACCACAAGAGAGACCCAGTCTTAGCCAGCTGACGGCAATTCAACTGTTGAAACGTACAAAGAGCGGTTGCAGGATTTGGGTTTGGCCAGTCTAGAGAAAAGAAGGACTGGGGGGTGACATGATAGCTGTATTCCAGTATTTGAGGGGCTGCCACAAAGAAGAGGGGTGCGGGGGTGTCAACCTATTTTCCAAAGCACAAGGCTGAAGGCAGGAGAAGAAACAATGGGTGCAAACTAATCAAGGAGAGAAGCAACCTGGAATTAAGAAGAAACTTCCTAACAGTGGCGATAATTAACCAGTGGAACAGCTTGCCACTAAGTTGTGGGTACTTTATCATTGGAGGGTTTTTTTTTTTTTAAAGAAGAGACCAGACAGTCACTTGTCTGAAATGGTATAGAACCGTGATGGCGAACCGGTGGCACGCGGAGCCGTATCTGTGGCCACACAAGCGTTGCCCTAGCTGAGCTACAACATGCATGCGTGCGCCAGCCACCTGATTTTCAGCCCTTCCGGGCCCACCGGATGTCAGGAAACAGGCTATTTCCAGCCTCCGGGGTGTGTGTGTGTGTGTGTGTGTGTGTGTGTGTGTGTGTGTGTGTGTGTTGGGAAGGCAGTTTTTGCCCTCCCCAGGCTCCTAGAAAGCCTCTGGAGCCTGGAGAGGGTGAAAAACGGGCCCACTGTTCCATCACTTGCCAAAAGCTGGGGGAGTGGGGGGGTCACGCACGTATGTGCGGGGTGCATTGAATTATGGGTGTGGGCACACCCGCCCGCAAATCCCCCGCGCTCCCCCCATTTTTGGCATGCAACAACAAAAAGGTTAGCCGTCACTGGTATAGAATCTCCTGCTTGAGCAAAGGGCTGGACTAGAAGATCTCCAAGGTCCCTTCCAGCTCTATTCTGATTCAATTAAAGACAAGTGGACTTCAACAATTCCCACAATTCCTCAGCTGTCCGTGGCATGCCAAGAACCGCAAAAACCCAAAGCCCCATTTGCGGTATGCAGCCAGCATGCAAAACCATGACCTCTCCGGTCCGCGGAAAACCTTTGTCCATGGAACTGGTCCCTGGTTCCCAAAAGGTTGAGAGCCACTGCTGCAGGGAGTTTCTGTGGCTGAGAAGGCCTCTGCAGCCCCCAACACCTTAAAACCACTGCCTGCCTGACGACTCTCATATAAAAGATAAAGGTTCCCCCTGTCCAGTCGTGTCCAATTCTAGGGGGAGGAGCTCATCTCTGTTTCTTGGTCGAGGGAGCTAGAGTTGTCCAGAGACATTTCCGTGGTCAGGTGGCCAACGCCGAGGAGGATGGAATGCTATTACTTTCCTACCGAAGTGGTACCTATTAATCTACTCGCATTTGCATGCTTTTGAACTGCTAGGTTGGTAGGAGCTAAGACAAGGAACGGGAGCTCACCCTTTGTGCAAGGCTTGGGTTTCGAACACGGGCTGTCATCTTTCCAGCTAACAAACTCAGTGTCTTTAACCATGACTCTCATATGAAACAACGTTAAAGGTGCCGTAATAATGCTGGTGTGTCAGGGTGCGCCAGGAACCACGGGTCATGCGGCCAGCATGGCTATACGCTGAGGGGATGGATGCTGTTACTTTGCTACTCAAGTGGTAACTATTAATCTATTTACATCTGCATACTTTTGAACTGCTAGGTGGGTGGGAGCTAAGGCAAGGTATGGGGGTTCCCCCATTGTGTAACACTCGGGTTTCGAACACGGGTTATCGTTTTTCCATCAAACAAACTCAGCGTCTTTAACCCTGACTCTCATATGAAACAATGTTAAAGGTGCCATAATAATGCTGGTGTGTCGAGGTGCGCCAGGAACCACTGCCATCGCACTATTTGTGGCATGCTTTTGTTCTGTGCATTCCTTACCTGTGAGCTTTGTGCATGTTCTAGCATCTCCTCAAATTCCTGGTACTCCTCATCGTCTGGCTCGGCTCCGGACAGTCGGGCTGCCCTGGCCATGAAGTACGGGGGGAGCTCCCCAATGGCTGTTCCAGCACCCTGGAGGAGAAAATGTAGGAGACAGGAGGGTGTCAAAGAAAATCCTCATTTTCTTCTCTTAATTATCTTTCCGCGAAACTTTGAATACAGTAATCCTCAACCTGCAACCATTCATTTAGTGACCATTCGAAGTTACAAGAGCCCTGAAAAAAGTGACTTGAGTCAGTTTTTCAAACTTATGGCCGTTACAGCATCCCCATTGTTACATGATTTACATTCGGATGCTTGACAACTGACTCACATTTATGACGGTTGTAGTGTCCCAGGGTCATGTGATTCCCCCCCCTTTCGCAAGCTTCTGATAAGCAAAGTCAACGGAGGAAGCCAGATTCGCTTAGCAACCGTAAGATTCGCTTAACATCTGCAGCGATTCGCTTAACAACCCTGGCGAAAAAGGTAAAATCAGATGTGACTCACTTAACGAACCTACTTGCTTAGCAATGGAAATTTTACTCTCCATTGTGGTTGTAAGTCAAGGACTGGCTGTCCATTATTATTGCCTCTGCTGTTCTCTGCAAGCAACACGACAGCCAGGATAGGTTCAGATCAGGGATGGGTTCTAAATTTTTTTTACTACCGGTTCTGTGGGCGTGGCTTGTTTTGTGGGCGTGGCTTGATGGTCATGTGACAATTCTTTAGGATTTAGCAGAGGTACCGGTCTACCAGGCTTTTAACTGCTTGCAGAGCTATACCTGTCTACCCATTTGTTCTTGGAGCATCCTGGTCTACCCATTTGTTTTTCGAGCGTCCCGGTCTACTCATTCGTTTTAGAAGGCACCGGTCTACCATCACACTGCCTTTTAACACTGATCAGCTGTAGGGCGGCCCTTTGAAACCCGCGGCAAGAGTTTAAGCAGTTTTTTTCTTTCTAGCCATCAGCTGGGACTCAGGAGGCAGCGAATAGATTGGGGCGGGGCCAAATAAAAGGTAAGAATAACGCGGGCGGGGCGGGAGGGCCCAGCTCCCGAACAAAGAGAACCGGTTCGGTGATGTCATATCGTCACCGCTACCGGCTCGGTTGAACCGGGCCGAACCGGGAGGAACCCACCACTGGTTCAGATGATCCATGTCTGACCCCCCCCCAAAAAAACCCCCCTTCCAGATTCAGCAAGGCCTCCACAGAAGGCAAACTGTGGATTTCTATCAACCACAATGTCCATAAATATGAGCCAGTTTCCAAGCATCTGAACTTTGTTCTCATCACCATGGGGAATGCTGCCAACAGTCGTTAAGTGTGAAAAACGGTCGTAAGTCCCTTTCTTCAGTGCTGTTCTGATTTCAAATGGTCACTAAACGAATAGTTGTAAACTGAGGACTACCTGTAAGGTTGTAAGGACGACGCAATACAGTTTGGTTATTACGTTCAGAGCTGCGAAAAACAGCTTCACCGCCGTGGGAAAGATTAAACTAGATTAATTACCGGGAAAGAAACGAAATTCAGTTTTCGGAGAGACGTTTTAGTACCGGCGCTGCTGATTTTCTGCTACTGAAATCAGTCAGCTTTGGATTGTGCAAATAAAAACCAGTTTATTTTTAGCATTACGAAGAGGGTATATAATTAGGTTGTAACCGAGGTCGTTCAAACCTTTCAATAAAACCGGTCGTGTTTATCTACTTTGCCTCTTGCCTTTTTTCCCTCCCTCCTGTGCAAAGTGCGAATGACCGACCCGTACCATGACCTCATCGGAAGTTGACTACAAGCCCATGAACGTCAATTAAGCAAATACAGCATTTAAGCAAATTTCTAACCTCGGGAGTTCAGCCGGAGACACGGAATTCTGATATGCCTGCGGTTCATCGGTCGCCGCCTGCCATTTTGTAGACGCAACAAAGATCTTTGGCAATTGTCTTTGCAGTCTAAATCTGTGTTTCTCGGTCATAGCTACTTAAAATATGTGGACTTCAACTCCCAGAATCCCCCAGCCAGCCTGGCTGAAAGATGTGTGGACTTCAACTCCCAGAATCCCCCCAGCCAGCCTGGCTGAAAGATGTGTGGACTTCAACTCCCAGAATCCCCCAGCCAGCCTGGCTGAAAGATGTGTGGACTTCAACTCCCAGAATCCCATAGCCAGCTTGGCTGAAAGATGTGTGGACTTCAACTCCCAGAATCCCATAGCCAGCTTGGCTGAAAGATGTGTGGACTTCAACTCCCAGAATCCCCCAGCCAGCCAAGCTGGCTGGGGAATTCTGGGAGTTGAAGTCCACACATCTTTTAGTTGCTAACACTGAGAAACACTGAGAAACACTGGTCTAAACCACTGCCAAGATATACAGGTAGTCCTCGACATACAACAGTTCATTTAGTGTCCGTTCGAAGTGACAACGGCACTGAAAAAAGTGACTTATGACCGTTTTTCACAGTCGCGACCTTTGCAGTATCGTGTGATCAAAATTCAGATGCTTGGCAACTGGTTCATACTTATGACCGTTGCTGTGTCCCAAGGTCATGTGATCCTCTTTTGTGACCTTCTGACAAGCAAAGTCAAGGGGGAAGCCAGATTCACTTAACAACCAGGTTACTATCTTATCCACTGTGGTAATTCACTTAACAAATGAAGCAAGGAAGGTCGTAAAAATGCGGCAATGCTCACTTAAAAAAAAAATCTCACTAACAACAGAAATTTTGATCTCAATAATTGTGTTGTAAGTTGAGGAGTACCTGTACTATGTTGTGTGGATACAAGTTTTCTTAAATGCACTAAACGGTTTGTGCTTTCTTTGTTCCGTTCTGACCAGACAAATAATAAAACAATATGATAACAATAAAATAATTGGAATAATTTGCAATTATTAACCAAAATTCTAGTGTTCTTAGAGGAACAAATTAGAATTGGCTTAGAAACAAATTAGAGTTGGCCCAATCAAGGCACTGCCAATTCAGAGAAAGAAACTAACAATAAACAACAGCCTAATCAAAGAACAACAAAGAAATTCCCACTAACACCAACAGGACAAGCTATCGATATATAAACAATGATCCAACCCTACTCTCTTCTATCACTGATGATGTTACCTAGTTGGGTAATGAAACATCTGCAAGAAAACAACCAAGCTCAGAGAGCACCAAAGACTCCACAGTCCTTTTCCTCCTCCTCTTCCCAAACCCCACTCCCTCCGAGCACTGATGATGTTACCTAGTTGGGTAATGAAACGTCTGCAAGAAAACAACCAAGATCAGAGAGCGCCAAGGACCCTCCTTTGAAACTTTTTAAATTTAAGGTGAAAACCCTTGGCTGCCCCCTGCTCAATTCTCACTGTCACGTGCTATCTTTCTGAAGTTGTGTCCAGTGGTGGGATTCAAGTAATTTAACAACCTGTTCTCTGCCCTAATTACTGTCTGGGTGGGCGTGGCCATGGTGGGCATGGCCAGGGGGTATGCCACGCAGCACTCGGCCTCTTGCACCCCCCTGGGAGCAAAAACGGGCCGCGGGGGGGGCGCACCCAGCGCCCTGTTTTGGACCTAGTAGGCTCCCCTGCAGCCTCCTGGGGGGCAAAAAGGGGGGGGGGGGGGGGGGGGGGGGGGGGGCTGCGCCGCATCCCCCATGCCCCGTTTTGGCCTAGTAGGCCTCCCTGAACTTACCTGGAAGCCAAAATGGGGCGCATGGGGACTTCTGGAAGGGGTGAAGTGGGAAGGGGCGGGGTGGGGCCAACCAGCAATTTAACAACCGGTTCGCATGAACTGGCCTGAACCAGCTGAATCCCAGCACTGGTTGTGTCCCCGAAAGCAGTTTAGGATTAGGAGTAGGAAGGGGGGGCTCCAGGAAGATAAGCCCCCCCCGGCCCCTTTTCAAGGTAGCCAGCAAGGTGCACAAGATATATTAGACTTCAACTATCCAAAGGGACCGGTGACCACAAAGTCCCCTTCCCAGTCCAGCCCCAAACATTTGGATCCCAGACAAGGTCAGCACTAAATCAGACGGCTGAAGATCAGGAACAACAGGAAATTATCCCCAGCCAGGCTGCAACTTTGCTTCTGCCAGGTGGGAGAAACAATTATTTTTTAAAATTATTATTATTTATTTTTCGCCTCGGGGCCAAAAACCAGCCCGTGTTACAACTCAGGGTGTGTGTGTGTGTGTGTGTGTGTGTGTGTGTGTGTGTGTGTGTGTGTGATATACAGGCAGAAATCAGCACTGGCCATCTGGCTAATCAAAGGTTAACGGAACAGGAAGCTTGGCCAGAATTCAAGCGGTGCCTTTAAATCGCAGGAAAGGTGTAACAAACAATCGGGACAGCTGTCCGGAGGACCCCACCACCGGCAGGTGTCTTCCGTCCAGCCGACCCATTCTTTTATAGGTGCCCCTTTTTTCGAGCCGCTCTTTAGCCGTTGAGTTTCCCTTTGTTTTCTTGGCAGCTGCTTGGAGGACTCATTGTGGCTCCTTTGTCTTGGCTTGCAAAAAAATAAAAAATAAAAAGAATCATCGGGGCTATTTTGATAGGCACACACTCGCCTCTCTCCGCGCTGTTCAAAAAAATACTTGCCACCGCAAACATCCTGGTGGTTTGTCTTCTCGTTACGACTGACCCGCATGGGGGCGATACGGAGAAAGTAGTCCCTCGGCTCTGAAAGGTGGAAAATTCCTGTGTGAATGAGAAAGCCAACGCAACAAGGAGGAGGGGCAGAGCGGAGACCTCTGGTTCAAGAGTTTGAAAGGTGTCTGAAATTGTTTGGAATGATGATGGTTTTATGTTTTGTCTTTGTTTTAAAATAAAAAATTGTTTTTTTTAAAAAAAAAAGAGTTTGAAAGGTGGGGGGGGGGCGAGAGAAAGTTTTCCGGGGCATGAGAATCATCTCTGTAGGCCGTCCCAAAGGTGCTTTTCAAAAGGCAATTAATTGGACTTTCTTGGTTTTTTGTTTTGACCCCTTGAAAACCTTTCGCTTCTCATCCAAGACCAGGGGAGATATGATAGCATCTTCCAATATTTGAGGGGCTGCCATAGAGAGGAGGGGGCGAAGCTATTCTCCAAACCACCTGAAGGCAGGAGAAGAAGCAATGGGT